CTACAGTTTTATATTTTTTATAGGCTATTTTTATCAAAGGTTTTTTTAGATATGTACATCATTTTATATAACAAGTCCTTCTGTGTGCGCGACTCTGTTGTATTTATGTAAAGCTGAGCCTCTAGAACTACTCTTCACTTCTGTGCCCTCTTTGACCTTGACCATCATTGCCCTGCCATCTGTATGCATGGGCCTACTTCTTACCCCAGGTGGCCTCGGGGCTACTTGTCGTCGTGCTGACAGCTGTCTGACAGCAGCAAGACTGGATTTCTGGGAACAATTCTGGTTTCAGCTACATTATATCGATAGAGGAAGTACTCCAGGCAAACAGCCAGTCCTTTTTCTTTTTTAACTAAGTGTTTATATTGTTGCACAAATCCCTTCTCCTCGCTGTGCCCGGCGCTGCCTTCCTGCACGTGTTCTGGGCAGCTGGACCCGCCACCGGCCGCCCTCACCGGTGGGCGGGAGGCCGGAGGCCGGCACTGGAGGCCTCGGGGTGTTGCCAAGTGACTCTTTCCTTCTGTGTCACAGCAGCTTCTGTGCTTCTCTTCATTTAAGTTGTGGAATTGTCATACTAAAAGGCAAAATAAACTACTAATCTGTATAACATTCTGGCTTGAAAGGCAGTTCTAGTTACTTGTGACGGGACTCAGCCCTAAGGGCTTGGATGGTGGGGCAGGACTTATGGGAGCATCTCAGCCTTCCAGCTGGGTACTTCTGGGTCCCTGTCCTTGGCTTGCCATGGGGCGAGTGGGACAGAATGCCCTTGTCAGCAGTGGTAGCCCTAGGAGGTCCTTGAAGCCACAGCCAGGCTGCAGGTGAGGCCTGGAGGCCCTGGGGTGGGCCAGGAGCCAGGAGCTGGAGTTCCCTGTGTCCGGAGCAGCCCCCAGCCACAGGGTGGCAGGCACCCCTCCTTCCCCTAGCAATGACGTGCCCTGCCTGAGTCATGGGTTGTTTGCCTCCTGCGCCGGCTCACAGCTCAGGCCCAGCTGCCACTGCGGACACCACTCCCCTCACCCTCATCATTGGAAAAACACACGAGAATGATTAAGACTAAATGTCTTTCCGGCGGTGGTGGGGGCTGCAGTGAGGATTCCCAGACAGCAGGCGAGGAGCTGGTGAGCCTGTCTCCTCCTGGAACACGGATTCAATGAGCCTGGGGTTTCCTGAGGTCACATAGCACAACAGCAGTGGCACAGCTGGGACTGGGACCCCAGTGCTAGCCCCTGCTCAGTCTCTGAGTCAATGTGTGTGCTGTAAGCAGAGGCCCTGCTCCCTGTCCCTTGTAAAGGGTTGCCCTTGCGACAGTGGAAAGCCTTGGGAAACCATTACTCAAGTCGTGGGTCCCCAGGGCCTCCTTGGGCCAACCGGGCTGCTGCAAACACAGACAGGAAGCAAGGCTGACACCCCTCCACCCTCGGACGGTGTGGTGATGCCTGGACTCACGCAAGCCCCAGACGGCTCTTTGTGCACAGCTACCATGGGGCCTGCTCAGGGCCGTCTTCCTCCCTGGTCAGAGGGGTCAGCTGCTGGGGGTGGCCCAAATCTCCGAGCAGGAGATGGGAGCTTGAGGCCTGCATGGTCAGGGCATATGCCCTTGGACTCCTCATCTGAAAATGGGGTACTTACTCGATCCCTACAGAGTGTAGAGAACAGGAAGTTGGAGCGCTGGGCACCCCAGCACCCTAACCACTAGAGAAGCCGGCCAGTCCTGGGATAGACACTTGCTGATTGCTTCAGCCCCCAATACTGTTTCTCGCTCTCAATTCCCCATGGAGTGATTTTCATTGTCCCCTCCACTTGCTTCCAACATACACACCAAGCCACCAGTGGCCATGTGGCCCAGGGCAAGTGCCTTCAGACCAAGATGTACACAGCTCCAGGGCCACCATTCATATCACAATCTGTGAATGGCGTCCACCGTAGATCAGAATGAGTGGTGTTCCCCTGTTTGGAGAAGGGGGACAAACCCCTTCCAGGAGTAGGACTTGTGAGCAGGTTGTAAAACCATCAAGTCCAAGGCCATGGCTAGAGGTAAGGGCTGGGGCCTGCACAGGTCACGTCCTGGAGACAGTGTCTGGCCTTCCCCAGCCTCCCCACCCCTCACCAGGGCCCAGGACACACTTCAAAGCACCTCACGCCCATCTGCTCTCTGGTGAGTTCAAGTCTGACTCCACGGAACTAGGTTTGGCAGGCAGGGAGGGGCCGTGGTGGGCAGGTGCTAGGTAGCAGGACCACAGGTCAACATAGCAAGAGCCAGCACCTGGCATTGGCATTGAGGAAGGGGCCACCCTGAGCCATCGCCTCAGCCTGCCCGGCCCCAGCCATGAGCACAGAGAAGATGAAAGGAAGGGACAGGTGGGGGCTGAGAAGGGTGTGGCTGGCCAGCCTGCTTCTTCCTCCACCCCCGTCACCCCCCTGGGGTGGGCACCAACCCCAGGGGTTTACAAAGCCCAGATGGTGCTACCCACTCCACCCCCTTAGTGCAAATGAGTTAGCAGATGAAGCAGAGGGCCAGGCATGTGCCTATGGGGTTCCCAGACCCCATCTCCATCACTCCAGGGAATAGTCCCTGCTGGTGACAAGGTGGGCCTTGCTCCTTAAGCGGGTGTGGCTCAATCCCTGGGAAACATAGGTCTCTGAAGACCCCAGAGTGGGGATGTGGGACAAAGGGCTGGGGGTCTGAGCAGATGACATGAAGGAAGGGGTGTGGAAGGATCGTGAGTAGGGAACCACCACCACGTGGGCCTCTGCCAAGCTGTACCTGGTGCCTAGAAAACCTTCCCTACATGGGTTATCCAGCCCTGTGAGGCCCTGCACACACCTCCTCCAGGAAGCTGTCCTCCGCCCTGACTCCCTCGGCCTTCCTGCCTAGTGGGCTGTCCTCTGCGTGCACTCGTTTGCTCCTCGCTCCCCCGCGGACCTCCCAGAGGAGCAGGTGAAAGGTGCTGTCCGCTGCGGCGGCGGTGGAGTTTCAGACTTGAAATTCCCTCAATCCAAGAGGAAGCCAGGCTGCACTTAGAAACAGTAGATGTTCGTTTATGTATAATAATAATAATAATGTTACGCAAACTTAGAATAAAAAATACCTTTTCTCAGGGGGAGAGGTCCCCAGCCTGCCGCT